TTACCTAATGTTTATTAAATTATTTTACAAGATTTTTTTAACACGATGGCGATTAAAGAAAGGGGCCACGCCGATCACGATGACTTACGATTGAGTTTAAAAGAAGCGAGTACTTAACTATAAGTTATAATAATCATTCTTAAAATAAATTTATTCATAGTAAAAATGCTTTTGGGTGTAAAAGCCAAATTGAATGTAAATCCCATTACAGCGTTAGAATAATACCTACTAATCATTATACTAATTAACTATAAATATAATTATTTAATATTAATATAATAATAATATAATTTATTAAATATAAACAAAACATATTTCTTGTGTTTTTTGCCCCCTTTAGTGCTGAAGTAAATAGATTAAAACAATGTTAAAAAACAAACAGCTTTTCTTGTTACTGATAACTAAAAATCGTCGTTTGCGTTAAATAGTCTATCAACCAAAGAATATTGTTGATAGCTATTAAAAATATTTGCAATAACATGTTATACAAATTTAAGTAATAAGCTACTTTCTAAATTCATATTTTTTTTTTAAATATTAACATAATAAAACATTTTGATGTTATTGTTACCTAATTTACGGTGTCCTGTCTCTATGTCATTCAATTATAAAATATAATAGACTAGTTCAAAAATTAATTACATTTTGTTCGCTTCTCCGACAAATATTAGATACCTACATCTCGGTGAAAAAAAGAATATGGCAAAAGGAAAAGAATTTCAGATTTTGTTTGGTTAGTCGCAAGTGGTATTCTTCATTTTCCATTTAATTAACGCAAAAGATGTACTGTGTTTTTTTTTAACTATGCATAACTTTGTAAATTTTAAAGACACGAGTTTCTAAGTACCGGCGTTTAAAACCTTAAGTAAAGACCTTCAATATAAATTATAACTATGATTGCGATTTGAAAAGTAGTTTAGCCGATACAATCCATAGAATATTGACAAAAAAAATATTAATGTAAGTAAAATATTTTCCTTTTACAACACCTTTTTTTCACTGAGACGAAACAAAAAATTAATTTTTTACAAATCAAATACATACAGGGTGATTCTTTTATCATGGGCCACTCGATATCTCATAGGATTAAATAAAAAATACAATTTTTTTTTTCATATGATTTTTATACAATGTGATCTCTTTTTTTTTGTTTTTACCCCCTCCCAACTTGGTTTTTTTTAAAGCAACTTTTTAATTTTAAATGGTAATGCATACATTTCATTAACGTTTCAAATTGAGAATAATGTAGTAAAAATATTGACTGGTCAATAACCAGTTTCAGATTACTATTTTGGAAGTTATTAAAGTTTCAAGTTTAGGGCAGGAGAAAAGGTGAGGTGTAATATTATTTCTATCTGCCCGCATTTCCCAACCGCACTTCCCCTCTCATCCTATCGTTTAAACTCTTATATCTTTAAAAATATTTGTCCAAAACTGGTTATCAACTAGTCAAAATATTTAGTATATTATTCTAAATTTAAGTATGCGTTATCATTTCAGTCTCAAAAGTTTCAAAATATTGTGATATTGAGATCACTTTGTATAAAAACATTATAAAAAAAAATGTCATTAAACCATATGAAATATTGAGGGGACTATGATAAAAGATCATCCTGTATAAGGTAGGTATATATATATGTATATATATATATGTACCTATATATATATGGTCTCCACCTACCTTATATATAGGTAAAGGACAGCGTAACCCAAAGATGTGTTAGTTTACTTACCTTCAAGAAAAATGTATTTTAATACCTACTCTATTCTTCAAGATTATTTATTTGTCAAAAATTATTCTAAAATTTTCTATTCTAGTTTTATGTTTTTGTATATACATGTGTGATGTGCACTACTATATAAAATTACCAGGTTTTGATTGTCGGGGTAATCTGTGTTTTTTATGGTACCGTACTATGTATTGCGGATACCTATGTAGATCAAAAAGGCATTTTTGTAAATTTATCTTTTTAATGATTGTATTATAAGGTTTATAAATTATATGTGTGTACTAAAAATATAAAACGTTTAACGTATATACTCGTAGCTTTATAAACTTTACGGCTAAAAATATAGTTGTTATAGAAGCTTTAACGTTAAAAATAGAAATAGCTAGTCGGAAACTCAAAATTGTCTTCAATTAGATAAAATACGCTTTAATATTGTACTCCTTTTAATATTAATTTTTTTAATTTCTTAACCATTATAATATGTATTATTAATGCATTGTGGTTAGGTTGTATTATTGTTGTAAAACGTAGACCATTTTTGTTAACCTGGTTGACTCCATATTTTGTGATTTATTTAAACATTATTTAAGCTTTTGTTAATTCTTTAGTTATTTCCAAGTATATATATTTTTTGTAACTTATTACTTCATGATTTAGTATTAACTTATCATTTTTTTTATTTATTTAATAATTTCATAATGTTGATTTTTTAGTTGTTAAATTAAAATAGAATAATTTAATGTTATATTTCCTTTTAAAAAATGCAAATTTGTTTACAGTGTATTCATTTTATAAATATGATACATACATGTGTTTTTTTTATAATTTTTTTGGCTATAATTTATTGTGAGTGATTACGAATAATATATACATTTTTAAACACATTTTATGTCATCGTTCCTATTTTAATAAAATACTAGTCACTTTTGTCGACTCATCATTGATGTATACTCAATTAATACTTGTTGGATGCTAAGCGGTGTTGGTATAGTTGTTTATAATATTAGTATACAGGATTTAAAACGCATTGTGGCCAATTTTTATTTTTATTTTACTATTAAAATAATAGGTTTGTGTAATGTTATTTTCACAAATTTAAAACAAACATTTTTTATCGAGCATTCCTGTTCAAATAGTTCAGGGTTTATTATTTTTTTTTTTTATTAATATGTAAAAAAGGGTTTAATCATTTAGACGAAAACAACACATTAAATAATGGTATTTAAGTAATATAAAATAAATCCTTATTTGTTAGTTAAAGTAAACAATTTCAGAGACTTGTTCTTATTTCCTTTTTGAATTACATCAGATATTTTGCACGCCTCTGTTTAAAACGGACCGGAGATCTCTGTCTGCTGTCTGAGTCAGATTTTTAAGGATACTAAATTTATTTATGGTTTAGCTAACGATTATAAATTAAACATAGCACTTGAAATTAGTTGAGTTAAAAGCTTAAACTTAAAACTGTTGAAAGAAAGTTAGAAAACCTCGATTTGTGTTTTGTAAGTAGTTTACAACTTCGAAAACGATTAAAAACAAATAGACGTGCTAAAGAAAATCTCTGATCAAATTCGGATTTAGCACCAGATTTTTAAGAAAATAATTCAATTTATTGTATCTATTTTGGTTACTCGTACTCATTTGTACGGTGTTTTTTTTTATTAATAACATTTCGATTTTAATCGAATATACTATAGATAGGTGATATAGATATTATGGTGATATAAAAAAAAAATAGGGCCTACAACATTTTGTAAAAGTTAGTATGCACGTTGTAATTGATTAATTGATTAATTACATTAAAACTATTTCGCATTTTCAGTTTTGACTTTTAACTCAAAAGTAAACTTAAGATATAAGGGCAAACACGTCTTTAGCAATTATTTAACATTTTAATCTTGTATAAATAAAAAAAGGAAGTTCGTAAAATTCGGATTTAAGACCGTTTTTGAATAAAGGCATTCCTGGCGGATTTCCTTTTAAGAATTCAACAATGGACAGTGCTCGCATTGACGTAGTGTTTTTTAATTTATAATTTAATACACTGTACAGAACTCCGTCTAAAGACACTCCTTTTCAAATGCTAAAAATAACCAATAGTAAAACGAAAAAAAAGGCCTCTTTCTGCCAAATCATTTACAACCATCCAGCCTTCAATAGATTTTTTAACTTTGATGAACGCTGTGCAACCATAAGGCCAAACGAGTGTATTATCAAATCTTGTTTTTATTTTTTTAAATAATTTTTTTTCTGATCTATTGTTAGAATAATGTGTAAATATATTCATATTTTTTTTTATTCACAACATTTTTCTTTCTCTTTAGAAGCATAGCTTCTGGCGAGGGTCCCTAGACCCACACAGCTTTTTTTTTTTCTTTTGCTTTTTTATGCAAAGTTTTAGTAGGTTATGTATGAAAATTAAAACCAAAGGTAGATTTAGAATGATGCTAAATCATATACAATTTTCTCAAAAATCTGTTGTCAAACATTTTTTTTAAAGGAAAAACCAAAAAATAGGGGAAAATTACCATTGGACCGTAATCAGTTTTTAGGTTGTTATGTGTGGTTTATAGTTTATACATATTACCCACAGATTCGCATCAAAGCGTTTATTTAAAAGTGATTTTATCACTTTGGTTATAATAATTTCTGTAAACCTGTGAAGTGTGACCTCTCCATCCCCACTATGCCCCGACCTCACTGTACTAGCTTTTATTAATATTATTGTAATTTTTATTTTTGTTTTAGCGACTGATAATCAACGCACTTTCGTCGTTGCACAAATACATTGAATTATTTGTCAATATCTTTTTAGTTTTTTTTAGTTGATAAATATTGATGGCGTTTATATACATTCGAATATGGCCTGATGATTTAAAAAAAAAATAGAATTTAGTAAATCAATTAAAGCACTTACAGAAGGACAGTTAATTTAAAAAAAAAAACTTGTTTTATCATCAAAACAGTCAAGAGAAAAAAACCAAAATATAAAGGTTTGGTTCTACAATGTAATTCACACAACATTTGAGTCAAAATTGCAGAAATATATATAATATTTTAGTGTTTTTTAAAAATATTCAATGTTTAAGTAAAAATGCCGAATATAAATGAAAATTGTTGTGCTGGTTTCACATGAAGTAACCCGTTGGGGATTATCTACAAAATACCTGTGTCACATAATGTTAAAAATCTACAATGTTAGATTATATTAACTCCCTGTTTAAATACTAGCTTTTAATTTCTAAAAATTGTATTGAAGTACAATAAAAATGGAGAAATTATCCATCTTTGGGATGGAATGTAAACTATAATTAATGCAACAAATTTAAACTGTAGCCTGATGAAAAGTAAAACAACTTTTTGGTCAGTTGAAGATATTCTAACTTGCCGTCAGTTTCTTACAATCTACTAGGTATGATTTATAACAAACAATTTTTTTTTTAAAAGACATTATTCATTATAGTCTCAACAAACAATGTAGGATACAATGACTGAAGATACAATAATTTACTACTATAAACTAAAATGGCATACACATTAATATACTAAAAAAGTACATACTAAAATGGAAACATATTCAAATAACTGAAAAATATAGTAAAAATAAACCGAAACATTAAATTTCGTGCTAAAACATCATAAAAACATTAAAAAAAATAGTATCAAACATTTTGCAAATATTTAAAAATTTGTTCTGCATAGAAAGATAAAGAATAAAATAAATATAAGAACACACAGTGGTTAGTGGTATACAATTTGTAAATATTTAATCGTCAATTACTATTATATCAGGAAGATCATCCCTGAAACATACATTTAATTGGATTAAATTTAATTATGCCTTGTATCTATATTACACTTTTATGGTTATTCTCAGTAGTTTAACTTAAAATTCAAGTATAGTTTAACAACACTTAAATTATAAGCTAAACTGACGACAACGGTCGATACTCACTTGTATTCACTTTTGATGGCATTAAATTTTGATTTCATTATATTTATATTGTCGTCTTCCAAACATAATAACGATGCTTTGTAAATTTCATCGACTAACAACCGGTTGCCAAACATATATTCAAAACGGATACATTCAATCCAAATCTCTGAAAATGTATAAATAAAAAATAAAAAATGTTTCATTATTGTGTCAACAATATAGTGGTTTTGATAACAGACAAAGCAACAAACCTATATCGATCTTTCCAAATTTGTTGCACGCGTCGTTATACAGTTTTCTAATGGTCTTGATTTTACTGACGTCGTTAGTTTGGGCTTTCTCACAATTGATCATAGTCATGTATAAACTTTGGCAAGGAGGCTCGAGATTTTTGAGGTCTTCGAATAACTCCCGAGCTGCAAATATTCCCTTTTGAAGTACGCACCAGTCCAGGTACGATGGTCTCATCTCTAGCGCTATTACTTTGTAGCTAACGCGTGAACCTTCGTTATACAATTGTTCAACCTTAACGACATTTATTTCGTTAATAATTTTATTTTCTAACTGATAGAATTTTTTACATAATATAATATGCATAAATAACAAATTATCAATTACCAATTTTGGATGTGTGTTTAGCATATATCTAATCACAATTTCCCATAGAGGCAAGGAATCGTCTCTTAACTCTCGAACTCCTTCTTGAAAGACCTCGATGAGCTTTTCGAAACAGTCGTGAGTGATGTACAGGTTCAACAGTTCTGTCCACAATTCCAAACTTTTCTTTAAGGCTTTCACCGCCCCCGTTAAAATAGCCCGTCGATCGTTCGGGCTGGAATTCTCAGCCTACAATATTGAAACATTTATAACCCAAATCCCAAAACAAAATAAAAACGACTTTGACTTATTGTTGTTTACCCAGTACAAATAATATTTCGGTAAGAGTAATGCACCACTTATGTGTGCGTTTTGAAATGCACGTTCCAACGTTTCGTGCATATATTTCTTGGTAGATTTGTTTTGCATACGATACGATTCACGTATTTCTATTACAGTGTCCAAATACAGTTCCCACAAATGCTGTTTGTTGATTTGTAATATATTTTGTTTTAAAACGTCTTCGTAAATATTTATACAGTTGCTGCGTAAAAAAATTATTCATATACATCTATATTAATAATCATACTATACTTATTGATCCAGAAAAAACTTAGCAACTCATGGTTATATTTAATAAAGAAATTAATATTTAAAACCCTTAACCATAAAAATAATACATTCTCTGCATATACGTATTTCGGCAACAATGTTGTCATCTTCAGCACTAACGACAGACTCAGAGTATTTTTCTGGGTTTTAAATATTAATTTCTTTACTATACTAATTGGCTCAATCAACTAAATGACAACAACTTTAGACAGTTAGGCAAAATTTAATAAAACTATTAATAGCAACTAAAAAATTTTTTAACAACATATTAACTCAAATATTATTTTATAAGAATCATTTTCAAAAAACATTATTTTAAAAAAGATGATATAATAAAAAAATTAGGAATTTTTAATTATGTCAATTTGTTTTTAAACTATTGGGTATTTATTTAATTACTAAATGGAAACTTACTGCACTGCCATGAATTCTTTAGAAAACGACAAACGCTGAGTTTGAGGATTGTAGCTGTAACCTCTCAATTGCAATTGAGCCAAATTATGCCAAAGTAATTCATTGTGTTTATACGTCTCTACCATATCACTATAAAAAAAACAGGAAGGAAAAATAACACAATTATAAATAAATATGTCACTAATTTTAAATCTCATTGCATACCAAACAATAAGCGAATGGATTCTGTGAACCGATCGATGTATCAAAGAACTATTTAACACTTGCATGTGGAATGTTATATCGCCTTTAAAGTGATTGATTGCGGCTCGGTATTTCTCGATACACAAATCATAATTGTTGGCACCACCTTCGTGATGTTGGATCTCCATACCTACTTCGTCCAAATACAACTTTTTGTAGTGGCTATGTTCTTTCCGGCCTTGTTCATAATACTTTCGAGCTTGTTCGATATCTGTGCGTTCGTCAAATTCAAAGCGTGCTGCCGTCATGTATATTTCTGGATCACTATGACTTCCTGTCATCAGCGTTCTCAATAGTTGACTACACAGATCCAACAAATTCTGAAACCGTTTTTACAATTATTAACTCAAAGGTATGAAATAAATGGACAGAAATAAAAGATTTGTCAGACTTACATTGTTCATACAAAACTCAATATAATCTTTTAGATTATTATTAGTAGCGCTGAAGAGTAGAAACAAATTATTGTACATATGATTTATGCGATTGGAAATGATTCCGAGTATACCATGGTCATTATTTATTTCGTTTAACTCTTGCTGCAAAAAAAAAAACATTAAATGTTATAATCATTAGGGTTCTTCTTATTAAGGGGGCGTCACACACCTGTTATCTTCTTCAAAAAACCCGCCCTGCGCGGCGTAATTTTAAAAAGGCTGTAATCAAAACTAAGAAGCCAAATTTTCTGTGCTCTACCATGGCCCTTTTTTTAAATATCTCAACCAGTTAATGAATAATTAATTAAATAAGAAAGGCCTTTTTTGACTTTTTTAAAAATGATATAGCGTCGGTTGTATTAGGTATATTGAAAAAATACAGACGCTGGAGCACAGATAATTTTGTCATGTATAATATATATGAATTTCTTTTCTTAACTATATATGAAGCCTGAGAAAAATTATTCCGCGCAAAGCAGTTTTGATGGGAAAAAAAATTGTAATTTATCCTATAGAAATGACCGTGATAGTCTGACAAAAAAAAAATGGCAATCAACAAAGTATCCTAATTACTGTATTATTAAGTATACATTATAGTTCAAACTCTAAATTAAGATTTTTCAAAAAATTGCCTGTACTTTACTCCTTAGAAATAGCCGGTGTGGTGTACTCTTAAGAGGATGCCATATCGCCGAAAAAAATGATAAAAAAATGTATTTACGCGCTTCAAAAATACGACTTTCTGGATGATTTTAAGACAAAAAACCTTAGGTAAAAGTTGTAGAAAACAATATTTCGAACACAATGACATAACTTTTTTTTAAAAGTTGATCTTAGAAAAAAATTACCGGCATTTAAAAAAAGTAAAAAATTGTTTTTTTTGCGTTGTTCGTTGTTAACTAAATACTGAATGTAACAAAAAACGGATAATACGTTTATCTCTAAAATGCTGTTATCTTTCGATTTTACAATAGTTGTTTTGCTCTACAATCACTATGGACCGAGAAAACGCATTCTGCTTAGCTATGTTTAGATGATATTTTATTTTTAAACTGCCGTCAAGGATACTGTGATAGTCTGAAAAATAAATGAACTACCAAAAAAGAGTCCTAATTACTGAACTAATAATTACACATCACAGTTTAACCTTTAAATTGAGATTTTTCAAAAAATTGCTCGTACTTTACTGCTTATAAATGACCAGTGTGGTGTTCTCTTAAGTCGAAAAATATTCAATGCATTAACTTTTCCTGAGTGTTAATTATTACGCAAATAATTTCTAATCAGCAATACTTACGCTAATTTTTTTTTGACACAATTCTAATAAATTCGACTCGGTAGTTATTTGCTGTATTAATTCCTCTCTAGTGGCCAAACCAAGGGCTATCTTCTGAGTCATAGCCTTACGCCTGTCGTTCACTGCACTGAAATACAAAATCCGATTAATATTATTCGGATTTATAATATTTGAATAAAAAAAAAAAAAATTACATAATTTCTTCAGCTTTCAGAATTCCGTAAGTCTTCATAAATTGGCCCTCCACATCGTTTTCGTCCGACGACATGTTAAACGGATATCGACTGCTTTAATCGCTAAACTGTAAAACAAAAACCATCTTTTCACTTTGAATAAACAGAACATTTTTACCTATGAACCTAAGAAACATGAAGTATATTACATAATAATAATATAATGTTTACAGTTTACCTGATAAACATTATTATGATAAGCTTTATCATAATAATAGTAATAATATTACTATCACCATTTTGGTAAATAATCGCATAACAATATTATTATTATACCTAATATTCAATAAATGTTTTCACCGATGTGATTCTCTGTCGGATAACATAGATAGCGCTCCTGGTAAGAATTACAATTATTATTATATTTTGGAAATGTCCATATATGGTAAGTGTGTAATGTAATAAATTAGTACCTACATAACAAATAAAATCTGTTATTTCAATAGAATTTTTTTAAATATCCAAAAATATACAAATTTAGAGGAATTGCCAAAATTATTAAAAAATGTGAATATTGCACATCGCAAAACTACGATAATAATTAGAGAGACGTCATTCTATAGGTGCAAAAAGTAATAACATTTTTTTTTTTTTAAACATTCTATTCTGTTTGTAATAACCGGGAAGCTTTGAAGTATTATGGAAACAGCAAGAAAGTTATATGTCGATTTTTGTTTACACCTCAAATAGATAAATTTGTGTTATTTAGGCATTTCAAAATACACTTTTTGTCTGCTTTCAATTACTTCAGAAAAATAATACAGCATCACTGTAAAAACAAAGCTTACCAGTCACAAGGCCCGTTTTTTTCAAATTGAATTTGGGTTATGGCTATTTGTTAAGTGACAAAATTTAGACAATTATTCAGTATTTAACATAAACACTTTCAGCATAAATTCTGATCGCGCCTACTTTTTTTAGGTTGATTTTTTGTATTAGTGTCATTGAGTTGGGTTTTTTTTTACAGTTGCCATCGTACCTATATTATTGTATTATTTATGGACACTTAATAGTCGATGTTTTAATTTTTATCGTTATCTTATTATTTTGTACTTCATAATATGTTTTCTCAACTCCAATCCTAGGCGTATAGACTTTGGAAACTAGACAACCTTACCGAAATTCAATAATATATATTATATTATAGTACTAAATACCTAACACGATTAAAACATATAATGTCATAAATAAGATTATGGGAATTAGATAGGTAGTATTATGCATAGTTCAATATTGACTGCATTAGCCGAATAACTTTTAATATCTATGTTACATATATTTTTTTTAGTTTTGTGTACATTAACAGCTTTGACACGAATATTAGATTACGTTATGATTACCTATTAAATAGAATTGTTTGATCATTTTAAAGTGCTTGAAAAAACTGAACTCCTAGATTGTCTCAAGACACGTTTTATAGGCGTAGACATTTTTTGTTTTTAAAAACTACAATTATTTAGGTACTGTTAAAAAATGATAAATTACAAAACTCTTCGAGGAGCTCTAGAGGAGATGCGTTGTAATCTAAACCATCGTTTAAATTTGAATGCTAATAAATTAATTAATGAGCATATATTACATGAGACTAGACGAGAAGAGCAGAAGGGTTTGCCCGTAACCCTTCTGTGGGCCCATTTAAGATTTTAAAGGTAATTATTTTCGAAGTCATTGCAACCGACTATTAAACCTAAATTTCGGTACATCAAACCCAAACCATTAGATATAATATTAGAAGCGGTTGAATCATCTTGCAAAGATTTAAAATATTCTCGAATTAAACGGTTATTTTTTTTTAGCCGGTCAATTCCTAAAATACAAAAAAAAAAAAACCCCCGTAAAAAAGGATGAAAAGTTATACCACCGCAGAAACGATTCGAACTGCTGTATGCGCGCACCAGGGACCCTTTGAAAACCACTACGCCAAAGTGCTTATGGGGGGCGACGCGTTCGTTTATGTCCCTTTTGAATGGTTCGATAAATTCAGTATTTTTTTTGCATTTTTTTTTATATTATACATATTTCCGTGTCCCGCAGACCGTTTCGAAATAATCAGTGACAAACATGCATTACTTGACATTTTGTTTTGCAATTAAAAAGCGCATTTCCAAGTTATATAGCGTTTTACAGATTTTCGCACACTTTTTTTTTTGGTCGTTCACGGTTCGCCGTTTATTTTTTTATAAAATACAACAGTAGTAGGTACTCGATGCTCGTACGACTTACTCAAATTCTACCTGGTCAAAGACCATCGATTTATATAATATTATAGATATAGGTACATGCCTACTCATAATATATCTAACTACTAGGTATTATTGTTATTAATCAATCGTTTTTTACCTTCCTACTCGGTGTGCGTCCAACGGAATCGCTTTGCCCACTCGGACGGATGTCGGTTTTGGTCATATGGGAAACCAACGACACTGCTGTAGTATTATATTGTATTAGTATGTACTCACGAAAAAGCGTTTGCCGAAAGTTTTCAAGTTTTTTTTTAGGTAGCCAACAACGTAACAAGAGCGGCGGTGCATCTGGCGCGCTCTGCTTTGGGCGTTGGGCGACACCCACAATCAATAAACTAATAAACCCGGCGGCGGCGGCGACGGCGGCAACAACAAACACAACACGCGCTAACCGTTCTACGGCCGTAGAACATATGATATTGTTCGTTATCGGTAGCTCTATCGCCTTATCACTGAACAGCTGCTGGGCCCGTACAGCTGCAGCCGCTATTGTGAATCATATTGTTAACCCGTTGGCGTGTTGTTGTTGTTGTTGTTGTTGTTGCTGAAAAAATAAATAAATAATACCAAATAAAGTGTCGTCTTCGAACGTTATAATATTATTATTGCGTGTTCCGCGACCGTTAAAAATGCTCCCAGCCTCTTGCCGGATCGTCATCCGTCGTTAACCGACTAGGTACACGGTTTATACATTATCATAAGTATAGTGCTAATAGATAATACATGTATATTATATACTCATATAAATATATATGTATATTTTTTTCGAACACTCGCTCACTTTTCCTATATTGTCGTCATGCGTTAGCCGCCGCCGCCGCCGAAAATATGCAAAAACCGCCGCCCTCGAGCAAACAGGTACGACGGTTTGTCAATTTTTGTACATTTATTTTTATTTTTGCAGTTATCCAAAACACACACACACACGTCCAACCCTCCCAAACGGCCGTAACCGCGTCGTCCTTGGCCCAATTCGATAACGTGTGCCGCACATCAATTATTATAGGATACGCGACGACGACACGGTTTAACGGGCCAATCGCCTATCGCACAGTGCGCAGTGCACTTGAATGACTGGTGTTTTTCCCAAAAGCGCATCGTGTTAATTATTATTATTATTATGTTGTTATCATCGCTCCGCGCTATCGTGCAGGACTCGCGGCCGCCGGTATCGATCGGCTGGCACGGTCGCTATTATAATATTATACTGGCCGTAAAAAAACAGCTGATCCCGTGACACACTTAATTCCAACGGCCAAAGTGCACGCCGCCGTGCATTTTATTTGCATTGCATTTACGGCCTCCGCCGCCGGTCGGCCGTCAGTTTGCCAAAAAACTGATTCGACGCCAAGTTTTTTTTACAAAATATAAGTTTGTATATATATATGATATTATGTGGCCGTTCACCGTTACGACGCCGGTATCAAGCAAATCGGGTATTATAGACTTTTAAGTAATTTTAAAATAAAAACACCAAGGGGAGAGGGCCAGATTACCCTCCTCCCCTCAAACTAGTGTTTTATTTTATGAATAATTCTGCACGATAATAATAGTGCATCGTTTCCGCAAATGTATAGGTTGTTCATAACTGTTATACATAACGAGAAAACAGTATTATATTTTATTTATATTATAATATTGTATTTGTATCGCCGGTTATTCGCTGTGGTAACTTGTAAATCAGAAGTTACCCGGTAAATAATAAAAAATAGGAAAAATAATTTTTTTAAACAAAAATTTATTTAAATTAAAAATCAATTAGATTTTTTAAATAATTTTTGTAAAAAAAAAATATAATCTGAATTGAATACGATTTGAATATTATAACAAAGCGTTATAATTGTTTTTTTTCTCTAAACGCCAACCTCGTTTTCAATTATTCCTATTCACGTTGACCCTACATACAGTCATTATAGATATTTCAGTCATAATAATTCCTATGCAAATAATACATTTATGGAAACACAATAATTGAGGCGTGGAGTGAAATAATGGGTAACCACAATTAACAAGTATGAAGGATTATTATCTATCATAATGGTAAACTGTGTTAAGCCAAACACGAGGAATGATAAACTGTTAGAACTCGATTCTAGCTTGAAAATAACGTAAGCCAATTCAAGTCTCACAAATCTCGTATGGCATTGTTCCGAAAATTAATGAATTTTTTATTTAGCTCTTCCCTTAATTACAAAATGTTAAATGTCGGTTAATTAATCATTTATTTGCAATACCCAACAGACAACCAAAACGAACACTTGTACAGGTAAAAAAAAATACAACTTATTACCTTATTTTCCACACGTCATCCTATTCCGCTTACTCGGAGCACTTCATTCGACAAACTTAATTCGAGTTAATAGATAACAAAGACACTAGACTGTTCTTATATGCATGATGATACGAGTAGAATATTTACATATGTATTATTATTGTTGATATAACGTCTCGAGTTGATTAAAAAATATATCAACCTATATTAACCGTTCGAGTAAAATCTAATCATTTAGTCCAACAACCATGTATCAGAGCGACGCGTTTTGTTATTTCTATGATTTGCTTATCGTTTTGCGCAGTGCATTTAGTTTTGATAAAGTCGTACAATTTAAGACAAAGTATAATATTGACGGTCAAACTCTTGTTTACAGTCCAACTCAAAAACGCAGTTATTTAGAAAGTCGTGTACAAAAATATATGTGGGGACCATTAACAGAAAATAGGAGTGGCTTAAAGAAGCTAAATCTGATCAAACGTCTAATAAAAGAAACAAACAAATCTCTATAAAATTTATCAACTCAATCTTAATATTGTCACCGAGTGCAAAACACTAAATTTAAACACTAATAGATTTTCAAACGTTAACATCAAAACTCGGGGTTAAGAAGCTCTTTGAGTCAATAACTCAGATTTATTTTTAAATATTTTGAAATTATTTTCTTTTTTATCTTTAGCTTACATTGTAAAACTTTTAAAACATACTCAGACATTTTTTAAATAATAAATATATTTTTATTTTAAAAAAGATCCAATTAATAATTTCGAATACTTAACGAATTTCAAAAAGAAATAAAAATGTATTGTAATCGATTTTCAATGAATAACTCGAATTATAAAATCAATTACTCACCTGCCTATAAGAATCTGATTACATCATTTTTTTTTGTTTTTGTTGTAGTAATCAAAACCATATCGAAAAAACATTTTTTCCCAAGTATACACCATTATATGTGTAAGTATAAAAAAAAAAATGGAAACATTTTAAAAATATATTATTTCAAACAATTCACTAAATATAGTATTAGCTAAGTATTATTTGTGTTTTGTTATTTCCAAAAAGCTTACCCGTGTCTTTTTTAAAATAACTTTCTATGCAGTTATCTCGTTTGAAACTAGAATCGTAAAACTCCATTTCATAACCGATTTTTAGTGGACTTTTGTATTTTGCTTCTCCGCTAAGGGTTACAATTGGGGACTTTCCTTTGTCCTCTACACACGTGACACGACACGAAGCGTCCTCCTCGTATTCGGGTCAGGCCTAGAAAACAAAATAATAAGCCACTCAAGTTGCAAGTAACGATTTTCGATTGCGCAATATTATGACAAGTGTGTACATCACGTCGTTGAAGGATCTGAAAACAAACAAACGTTTCGAGTACAAAACGGTTTTGATAAATAGCATTCGGTTGGCATACTGAATTACGCGATGGTGGTCGTTTACATTTACAACCGAAAACTATCAAATTAGTATTTATGTAAATCCACGAACGTTTTAGAGCACATTGAAAAAAACAATGTAGTAGGTATTGTTTTGTTGGTAAACATCCGTTATTGTCAATGGATAGAGGTGTCCCAGCAGGACCTTCTCCGGTCGGAGTAGTTAAACGTTCGTGCGATAATATTGTTATTAAATTATTATACGTTTGAGTGTAAAGCGAATGAGCCCAAGGTGACGTGACGCAAAACGTCGTTTTGTGACAGTGACGACTTGTGTTGTTATTATTATTATTATTATTAGTGCGTTCTGGTATCTATTGTGAATAATATCAGTCGCAGTTGTTTCTGCTTACGAGTGCATAATATTATTATTATAGGTATGATATGTAATTATTGTTGTACACGCCGTATGATTCATTCGGAAAGAATGTCCTATATTCTAACATCAGTAAAACCCTACTTTGATAGCCGCAGTTGTAACTTGTAATATTGGATTTATGTACACCGACCGGCCTTCGAACGTGCTCCATATGCCTTAACGGGAGAAATGTGATGTGCGCAATTTTTTTTTTCTTTCATTTTTTCCTCTTCTTTCTCTCTCCCCGTTGTATACTTGTCTACACGTCGGCCAAGTCTTTGCGCAATAATATATGAATTTCTATATGTTGTACTTACCTAACAGTTATCTAATACTTTCATTCGAAAATGGCTAGTTTGTGTACGACGGATATACTTGTATCCGGTTAGTTTTTGTTTTCCAGTAATTTTTCAATAAAATATGCTAATTTATAGCGATAACAAAAAAAATCATACCTAAATTATGATGACCCGTTCCTGAGTTTTATATGATTTAAAAATTGAAAATTAAATAATTTTTACGCCTATGAAATAGCTTTGCAATAGCGCGACGTTAAACTTATTACATTTTTTTATCAAATATTTAAAACAAATTCATATTGGACTACTGTCGAAAACAATTGCTTCGAGAAGGCACAGTATAATTTCACTTTTTAAAAGTAACTAAAAAACTGTTTTCATATAAATTGTTGGTTAAGCTGTGCTTTGAATACGATTTTTTTTTTAAAACGTTAATATGTAATAATCTGATAAAAAAAATGAAACTAAAAGCGCTAATGAAAGACTGTACTAATAATTTCCAACATAATTTTGTTGAGATGTAAATATGTAGAAAATTGCCTACACCAAACGCCTTAATAAATAGTGGGTGGCATACACTCACTCAATATTTACTCGTTATATGTTATTATTTAAAAGACATTAATACGAATATGTAAGTGTTGGTTTCACTCAATAAAAACGGTTATTATACACTGATCATTACTGCATTAAGTACAATCACTTTAGTTTATTTAATTGTATAATTTTCAAAATTGGTCAAGGCCTTAATCGAGTTTTAATTTCAAATAGAAATCGAGTGTATCGTCCTCTCCAACTTAACGTACATTTTTTTAAAAATAAATTACTAAAATTAATAAACACAAACGCAAGCTGTGTCCATACTTATAATTTGTAAATAGGTAGGTGTATTAACGCGTGTTAAAAATTATATACTCTGCATTTATATAATGATACTCCCTTAAATGCATTTTAAAAGAAAGTCACTATTAACTTCCATGTTCAATTATAATAATAATATAGAATTTCTCAACTATTAATAACGTTTAAGTATTCGATTATGTAAGTAAAGATTATATTATTAATAATGTGTCTATACTTCAGTAGTTGGCAATAAAGTTAAAATAACACAACCGTGTTTAGTTTTTACTGTTCATTAAGCTGCCAAAAAGTACATATATCGCCGATAATCGTACAATATG